AAGAGGCAAATAGTTTATAAATATAAAAGCATGAAAAACTATGTGTCATGCTCACCCAAATCAACAGAAATCTGTTAATTAATATCAGAAAAATAGATTTTTGACAAAATCACAAGGCATAACAAATATTTTCAGAATATCATAATAATGAAAGGATTAGTCCCCCCAAAAGATATAATAATCATGAATGTCTGTCTCCCTCATGCCAGAGATTCAGCATAAAGGACATAAAAGTACTGCAAGAAGAGGGAATGAAATCTGTACTTGTATATTAATATGTTAACACTCTTCTTTCGATAATTGCTAGAAAATCAGTCAATACATAGAACAGTTTAACAGCAGTTTCAGCAAATTAGCTTAATTAACATATATAACAGTCCCTCCAACGGCAGCAGGATATACCTTCTTCTCCACTGCATGCATGCTTGCTAGGAGATGTATTCTGTGCCATAGCAAAAGCTCAATACTTTTTGATAAATTCTGTTATACACGTGTATCTTCTGATCACAATTTAATTTTATTTTGATAAGTTAATAATCTAAAGATACTTGTAAAATCTCCAAATATTTAGAAGGTGTACACATCACTGCTAACTAACCTGTTTGGATAAAACAGTCAAATGAAAACTATTTGGAAGTGAATAATAATGAAAAAAGTCTAGAAATGTATAGCATTAATGAATTATAAGAGAAGAAAAATATGAAGAACAAATAACCTGGGACAAGGAAAAGGAAGGCGATTATCACCAAATCTTGTCAGTTTTACTCACCAAGTCACTGTCCTTCATTTTCCCTACTGCTACTGCATTATTATTTTGGTTACAGTTAATGGTCTCTGCAGTTTGACGAGGCTTAAAACTGTTAGAGTCACAAAAACCGGGATGAGTAGCTGCCCTCGTGCAGTTTCTGGAGCCAGGTTTGAACATCAGTCCCTTATCACTTGGAAGTAACTTTAGCGAAGTTACAGTTAGAGTTCTGCTTTGGTTGCCTCATTTGGAAATGAGCATGACTCTATGACCCATTCTAAAAGGCCTAACTGTGAGAGTGATTAAATACAGGACTTGTAAAGTCCCTTAAGGCCCAAGAAGTACTGACTTGACAGCGGTGGTAACACTAGTGATTCAGGATGCAGAATTTTTTTTCTCCTTTGAAGTTCTAAGTAACCTCTGTCTCATTCTTCCTCTTAGATTCACCATCCTGCCTCAGGTTTCCTTTCAGACGCACCAAAGTTATCTTTCTAAACAAAAACATGAACACAATAACTCTAGGCTTAAAATATTAAAGTGGTTTTTAGTACAATGAGGGCCAAGTTCAAATTCATATACAGTGTTTACAAAACTCAGTATTTATTCATTTCTGCAAAGATTTTCCTTCATGGATTTTCTCTGAGATTGCCTCCCTTACTGGTATTTCTTTCTTCTAAGCTGTTACCCCAGCAGCCCCCACCCCACTCGGGGTGTCCTCCCCTGTTCTACCTCTTTCTGTCCTCCCCTGTTCTACCTCTTCCTTTTGATAGATCTACTGGCTACTGGCTTGTTGCCTTCCCAACCTCAGTTCCCGACTTCCCTGACCTCTGTTCCACACCTTCCCTGGCAGAAATAGATTAGATTGGCTTGCTTCATACTCCAGCATATGTTACCTCTGACGATGAGATGGCAGAGCCCTGTTGGTATCGTATAAGATATTGGGGAACCATTTGTATTACTCATTCTTCATTGACTTTCTTGGTGTTCAGAGCATTCAAAAAATGCAGGTTTTCCCAAATATAGCTTGTTCCTTCTACAGAATTGCACTGCCTTGTCTTCTAGAGATAATACAGTTAATATTGAATATCCATTATTTGAATATTTCTGTGACATTCTCTGTCTTGCCTATTTCTTTCCCTTGAGGTGATAATCTTTGGTCACTGTGCTCATTTTACCACATGCTATCATAGCACAGAGCACACTGCCTTGAAATTATTTTCTGCTCTGGATTGCAATGATGTCCAGTCTTTATTTAGGATCTGTTCTACACTTGTATGTTAGATTTTGGAGGAACAATGTTAAGTAAAAAGCCAGTTTTTCCTATGCTTACAGTCTAAAGGAAAAAAAAATTCAATGATATTAAATAAGTGCTAAAAAGTACATCCGGTCAGAAGAAACTGAAAATAAAAGGCCCCTGTGTGGTGATGTCTAATAAATGTCACCAAAACAAGGCTGGTGAGGCTAGCTGCAGAAGGACCATGGTGGAGGCATTTAAGTCATTGGGCCATTTTAGCTCAGAGGGAAGAGGTGGTGGAGTTTGGAATAGAGTTATGATGGGACCAATTGAAATGGAGTTGAGAGAATTGTAGAAAGAAGTATTGCTTGCTATACAGTGATGATGAAATTGTGGCAATCACAGTGAAATATTAAGAAGTGAGTTGGGGCCTGGCGCAGTGGCGCAAGTGGTTAAGGTCCTCACCTTGCACGCTCGGGATCCCATATGGGCACCGGTTCTATCCTGGCAGCCCTGCTTCCCATCCAGCTCCCTGCCTGTGGCCTGGGAAAGCAGTCGAGGACGGCCCAAAGCTTTGGGACCCTGCACCCGCGTGGAAGACCCGGAAGAGGCTCCTGGCTTCGGATTGGCATAGCTTGGGGAGTGAATCATTGGATGGAAGATCTTCCTCTCTGTCTCTCCTCTCTCTATATCCGCCTTTCCAATAAAAAAATAATAAAAAATAAATCGTTAAAAAAAAAGGAGTTGCAGTTATTTTCCTTGTAAATTTCTGCTGTTCTAAACTGATTGGATTTGTCCCCACTAGAGGAGTAGTTGTATGCTTACTTTCTGAAGAAATGGCCAATCTTTGCCAGAGTGGAAGTATCATTTTTTTTTTTAATTAATTGCATTGCATTATGTGACACAGTGTTACAGGCACTGGGAGTCCCCCCACCCCTCCCTGAACCCTCCCCCCATGGTGGATTTCTCCACCTTGTTGCATTACCACAGTTCAATTTCAGTTGAGGTTCTTTCATTGCAAGTATTTACCAAGCATAAAGTCCAGCATCTTATTTTCCTAGTGAGTTCAATGATTTCTTCGTGAGACCATCTCTGGTCTGAAGGTAAAGCCGGCAAAGTATCATCCCAATCAATTAAAAGCCCCAACATAACATCAATAACAATTTACAACATTATGGCATTAATTGACATGGTATTGATTAACCAATATGTTAATAGGAAAATGCAGGTTCTTAACTACATCCTGTGACTTCTTCATAGACATTTCAATTTTGGTTTATGTTCAGCCGGGTTCTATACACCTCAAAATGGCTATAGATTACTATTCAGCTGTCTTATGTCTATTTTCATTTTAGTATTTAGCTGTTTATAGTGTTGAAGCATGATTTTGCTGAACTTGGTTGCTTTTCGGATGGTCTGAACTGGCTTATAACTCTAGCAAGGCATGTGTCATCAGTTTAGGTACAGAACATTTTTTTAGGAGGGGTGTGCCGAGAAATCCCCAGTACCCCAGTGAGGCGTAACTAATCTTTGTGTCCCACCTAGTGAGGTATGAGTGAATCCACGCTGACCATTTCCTGTCTGATTCTAAACTTTCCTTGTTGTTGTCTGTCTATTCTGGGTTTTTTGTTTGTTTGTATGTTTGTTCATTTGTTTGAGGGGTGAAAGATCCGTTTTTCTACATCCTTCTTAGTATTTATTTATTTATAACTGATTTTTTTGAATGATTTTATTTTTGTTTTTGTTTTATGATACAGCTCCATAGGTCAATTAGAACTTTATAGGATATTTTTTGTTGGCAACATACTATTTTTTATTGTTTTTTTTTTTCAAAGATCTATTTTTTTTATTATTTTTTTATTGGAAAGGCGGATATACAGAGAGGAGAGACAGAGAGGGAGATCTTCCGTCCAATGATTCACTCACCAAGTGAGCACAAGGGCCGATGCTATGCCAATCCAAAGCCAGGAGCCTCTTCCGGGTCCCCCACGCGGGTGCAGGGTCCCAAAGCTTTGGGCCGTCCTCGACTGCTTTCCCGGGCCACAGGCAGGGAGCTGGAAGGGAAGCGGGGCTGCCGGGATAGAACTGGCACCCATATGGGATCCCGAGCGTGCAAGGCGAGGACCTTAACCACTGCGCCATTGCGCTGGGCCCAACATAATATTTTTGACCTAGGTAGTTACAAGTGTACTTTGTGTATTTATATTTGATGAATTTCACATTTATGCTTTCAAAAATCTTTCTCAGTAAAGCACTTTCATCCCCTTCCCCACTTAAAAAAAAAACGGATCAGATTAATGTCTTCTTCACTGTCATCTCTTCTCTGTGTCTTATGGAGAACATGACACATCACAAGAGAATGAATAACCCAGGTATCATCTATGAAACAGTTCTGTTTGATTGTGACACTAATTATGTGAGCAGAAAGTGCATTAGTCAATGGACTAACCTTAGTCATTGCTTCCTTCCTTTTGAAATTTAAAAATGAATCCACTGTCATGGGGAGTATATAGTTTATTTTTGTGCAGTCTTTTACAATGAAATTTTAAAAAGACAGGATGCTATAAAGTGCAATAATTTTGTATGGAAAATGATAAAACATGTCTAACTTCTATGGAATTGTTAGCATTTTTTTTCTGAAGGTGACTGCCAGGGTTTGTTTTACTCCATTGCAATGCACAAACAATTGTCACAGACACTACAAGCTTTTTATCATTCGTTCAACAAATCAGGAAAGGATTATTGAAATCTAGTTTCTGTTAGTTCTTATTGTCCTTCTCCTTAACTCTGCTGAACTGTTAACATACATGACTGTTGTTGAACGGTGAACTATTTATTCACATAAAGTGAACAGATTGAACTCTGTGTCTATATAAACAATTAAAACATAACAATTTTTCCGAAAACCTTAATTCATTCTATTCTTAAAACACTTACAATTGGTAACTCCAGTGTGTGGATAGTAAACCCTAACATCCTAGCCAGTAACGTTCAGGATGCTCCTGTGGATGTGTTTTGCAGGTGTGTGCTGCTCCCACTTTTGGGAATGAAGCCCCCGCAGCAGAGCCTGTACCTACTCGTTGATTCTGTTGATGAAGGGTGTAACGTTACGGAAGGTGAACAGACGTCTACCAGCCTGTCTGGGACAGTCGCAGAGCTTCTAGCTGGTCACCATGAGTTCTTTCCACCATGGCTGTTGCTCCTCTGTTCTGCCCGAAAACAGAGTAAGGCTGTTACAAAAATGTTTACTGGTAAGCATAATTACTCTATTACCATCCTCAAAGATTTGTTGATGAACCAATGTATGTATTCCTTTCTTAAATGAAAGTAAGCATTTAAAAATGTGAATGTTGCATCACTTTTCTATCAGTCACAGCTGCACTTTTAAAAAATTGTGTTAGAAACAAGCTAAAGAATGTTTCAAGATCATTTAAACATTGCTTATTTAAGATTCTTTTCCTTACTGCGTTAGTAAAGGTTGGGAGTGTTTTATGTTGTATGCCCCACTGTTAATCTGTAGGATTGTATTTACAAATGCTGTTTTCTTGTGAGCAGTCTGTAGTACTTGTAACACCATCTTAATGGATCCTGAGCAGGCCTTCGGAGCAGGGTGCTGGCTGGGGGCTCTGAGTGCAGTCACAGCAGTCACTCTCAGTGCGTTTCTGGATGGAGGCAACAATAACAACCATGACACCTCTTGGAATCTATCCTTTTTGTTTAGCCCATTTCTGGTGAATGAGATAACCATTCAAATAATGTATGAAAGTTTATAGTAAATGCTTTTTTTTTTTTTTACTGTTTTCTTACTGAATTATTTTTCTCTACCATTACATCATGTGAAGCACTGTCCTTTCTCCTGAAGGAAATAAAAGGATTATAAAAATAGAACCTCTTATAGGATTTAGTATTTAATTGGAGAGATATTAATTAAATCAGTGATTAACTGGCCATATCACCCTGAAAGAGGTTCTGAACATTTCACACTATGATGAAACCCCAATTAATTACTTAAAATGTTTTTTCTGTAAATGATTCAATTCCCTCCATCAGATGGTCTCTGTAATTGCCTTGGCACTGGTGGCAAGACTTCCATTTCCTTGTATAGTATTCCTTTCCATTGCTAATGATGCAAATGTAATGAAAAAAATGTAGAAGTAGAAGTGACAACAGCTAATATTATGTAGCACTTGATTTGTCAGAGTTCATGAACTTGAAGCCCCTTGTAGTCCATGTTATCTGCTCCTTTTTCTTCCTTATTCAAGCAAGGAACCAGTATTTCTAGCTGACTCTATATATAGTTTCAATACATATTTGTGTACTATGTGTACAACCTTGTTTTTATATAAATGAAATACAGTATTTCCATCTTAGTTTTACTTACTCATTCACTGACAGTGTGAGCTCTTGTAACTTACATTCTTTGTGCTTCCGTTTCCTCATCTGCTAAGTTAAAGATTTTATTATTTTCTTCATAGATATAAAATGAGGTTAAATGACAAGTTACACCTAACGCTTTTTAAGGTCGGGGGACAATCTCAAATAAAATTGCAACCCTGGCAGTTGCCTTACAGTGAATGGAAGCATCTCTGTTGTGCGTTTCCATTTTTCTGTAATTCTGACTTTCAAATAAACAAATCTTTAAAAATGCAAGTGAGGACAGCATTGTGGTGGTTCAGGTTAAACCACTGCATGTAATTCTAGCATCCCATATGAGTGCCCATTCTAGTTGTTGCTGCTGCACTTCAGATCCAGCTCCCCACCGATGTGCCTGGGAAAGCAGAGGAGGATGGCCCCTAAATTCATGTGGGAGACCCAGGCTCCTGGCTTCAACTTGGCCAGACTGACCACTGTAGACATTCAGGGAGTGAGTTAGCAGATGTAAGTTCTCTTTCACTCTGTCTCTCCCTCTTGTCTTTGAAATAAAAAAATAAATAAACCGTGTGTGTGTGCTTAGCTATTATTCTTACTGTTTTATTTTTGGATTTTAGCAAACTTGTAAATCTAGCTCATTGGTTTTAACGTTTTTAATAGTTATCTTTTCCCATGAATAAAGCTCTGGTTTGTTTTTCCTTTGTTCTGTTCATAAACATTTAGATTGTTTTCATTTTTTCACTAGTGGTTAAGCATTTCTAATCTGAATTGAAATCTGAAATGCCACAACATCTGAAACTTTCTGAATTACAAACATGATACCACAAGTAGAAAATTATACATTTGAAACTTTATTTTCTTTGCAAAATTATTGAACATATATAGAACCACCTTGGTACCATATGTTTAAGATATATATGAACCATTAAATGAATTTTGTGTTTAGACTTGGGTACCAATCCTAAAATTGCTCTTAATATAAATTCACGTATTTCAAAATCTGAAAAAAAGTTAAAATAATAGATAGATAGATAGATAGATAGATAGATAGATAGATAGATAAAGATAGATAAAGATAAAGACTTTCCCGGACATCCCTGGCCATGCACTTGTGGTAGAAGTTTCTAGGGTTGGGATTGTCCAGTTACAGATAATGGGCAGTTTGAACTTTAGTCAATATTGCCAGGTCACTAAGTTAGTACACTTGAACTAATTTATACTCTTGTTAACAACACAGGAGAGTTCTCTTTTCCCTGTGTTCTCGTCACTCAGCATCTTTTTGCTTTCACACCTGCTTCTTACTGGTCTCTGCCCAAATATCATTGGCACACAGGTTTCTGACCATGTTTGCTATTCCAGGGTTACTTTTGCTCTCCCAGTTACCTGTACAGTCTATCTGTTTTTATTTTCTTCATATGTCTTAGCTTTTCTGAGAGTGGGAGACTTCTGTCTTGTCCACAGCTGTATCCCTTCATCTAGAACAAACCTTGAGACAATACAGTCAGTTGTTTGGAAAATAATTGCATTTGCCTTGATAGCAGTGTATCTAATTGTAATATGTTCATAATACGGGGATTACAAGTATGTTATTCAAAGTTACAATTTTCAAAAGTGATTATTTTCAGTATCCTTAATTCAAGATATAGATTAACTCTTACTGTTAATGAACATATAACTGTTTCTATGTAAATCATTATTAATATGTCTTTTCATTTTCATCTCTTAGATTTTAAGCAGTTTGAACCTACTCTATAAAATTCTCTACTTGCCTGTAGAATTAATTATTTCAGGTCCCTGTTTGTTTCCCTTCATTCACCATCTTTCTTTCACAGCATTCTGTACCCAATCCCATCTTCACAGAAACAACAAACATGAAGTCAAACAAAACAGAGTCTTTGGTCTATCACTTAATATGCTCTGATATCTTTTCAGATACATGGGTACTTATCTTACAGGCTTCATATAAAAAAAGTTATTTGTGATAAGTGCAGTTGATCGTTTTTTGGTCTCTTTTACCCCATTTTCAAGGCACTGAACCTTTTAGTGTAGAGGTTTAGCCATGGGTCTCTCTTAATCATCTTAGATTTCAACCACAAGCTCTTAGTAGATTAGGTTTAAATTATAGGTACTTGTTCATAGCCATAATTATCATAGGTTATATGATCATTCAAGTTAGTCATTGAGTAATGTGCAACATCATTTTGGAAAGATTTAAATACAGTGAAATATAAGATAGTATTATTTTTATTACTCTTTCATGAGCAACATGCCAAGTGCTTTCCTTTTGGAACTTTGATTATTTTGGTGAATTTCTAGAAACTAAAGCAAATAGACACACAAAAGATTTGGAGGCAAGTCATTTCACAACACGGGTAGCTGTGGATAGCTGTACATTTCTAGGCATGGTTTAAACCCTCAGGAAATCAGCATTTTTTTTCCGTAACAGTTCATTTTTAGAGTATTTTTTTTGTTAAGGCTTTTGTAATTGTGCTTGCATGTATGTGAAATTATAAATTCAATTTTGTTTTTTGGGTTTTTTTTCTTTGTTTGTTTTTAGTAAATTTTCCCAGTTCATCTTAAGTGTATTAAACTTGATCTTGGAAAATTCCAACACTATTGTTTGTCCTTCAGTGACTCCTTTTCAATCCTGTTAGCAAAACCAAAGCTAATGTTAACCTCTGCTTCACCACATTCACCAACCCTTACACTGTCTAGCTCTCACTGATAATTTCAATATCCATTTTCTGCCAGTGCTGTTGCTGCCTTCGTGAGCTCATCCACTTAGCAATTTGTTCTTCTGTAAGAAGAATACGCCACAATCTAATAATTTTACATTTGCAGAAAGTGAAGTTGTGATTCTCTTTTAACAACTTAAAGTGAGGGCCCGGCACTGTGGCCTAGCAGCTGAAGTCCTCACCTTGAACACACTGAGATCCCCTATGGGCGACAGTTCTAATCCCGGCAGCTCCACTATCCATCCAGCTCCTTGCTTGTGGTCTGGCAAAGCAGTCAAGGATGACCAAAACCTTGGGACCCTGCACCCGTGTGGGAGACCTGGAAGAACTCCTGTCTCCTGGCTTCGGATCAGCACAGCACCAGCTGTTGCAGTCACCTGGGGAGTGACTCACTGGACAGAATATCTTCCTCTCTGTCTCTTCTCCTCTCTGTGTATATGACTTACTTAATGAAAATAATTAAATCTTAAAAAAGACAAAGAACTTAAAGTGAGTTTTAGTCAGCTACAACTATGGTAGTTTAGGTATGTTTTTAAAATTTTTTTTTTGCAGTGAATTTTTATGAATGTAGTTTAGCTAAGTTGCATCCTAATTGAGTCAGACTACTTAATACCAGCCTGACGTTTAGTATTTTTGTTTTTTAAGGTGTAAAATAATGCAACTTAAAAGCAGCTATTGATTGTACTCTTTTTGGAGATGAACATTCAGTCTATGAGCTCAAGTATTTATATGAAAAGATCATCATGTAAAAATAAGTCTTATGTTTTATATATCCTATATGATTTGTTTGTGTGTCATTTGGCTTTTGTTTTATGATCATTTGGGAGTTCAGAAAATCTTAAAAGAGTTTATGGGGGCAGCTGTTTGGCATAGCTGTTAAAGATGCCACTGGGAATGCTCACATACCTTACTTGACGTTCCTGAGTTGGAGTTCTGGCTCCATTCCCAGTACAGCTTTCTGCTAATGTGCATTGGTCTCTGCCACCAGGAGAGACCCAGAGTCGCTGGCTACTGAATTCAGCCTAGCCCAGCCTGGCTGTTTGCAGGCAACTGGGGAGTAAAATACTGGATGTGAGATCTCTCTTTCCTCTCCTCCCTCTCTTTGAACTTCCCTTTCTCTCCTGTTCTCATTCTGACTTTTGAGATAAATAAGTTAACTTCAAAGTATTGTAACGGATGTCTAATATTGTCTAATGCTTAGTGAATAACTCTAATAGAGTAAAAAGAGGTACCAAACCAACTAAAAGAATAAGGAATACAGTCATCCTTTGTTTTCTTAGAAAATTAATTCTAGAATATCCACCCATCATGAATACAGATCTAAATACAATTTCAGATGCTCAAATCCCTTGGAATGGCATAATATGTGTATATAACTTCTTATGCACAACCTTCAATATACTCTGAATAATCTCTGGATTACTTGTATGATCTAATACAGTGTAATGCTATTAAAAAAATCATCATGCTACATTATACAGGGAACAGTCATGAGGAAAAACATCTTCGTATCTTCAAATGAAGATTATTTTTTTCACCTACAGTTGGCTGAATCGCTAGATAAGGAATCTGATAAGGAGGGCAATTTGTAAATGGAAAATGAAATCATTTCTCTGTGTTGTATAGAAGATGAATTTACATATTACAGGGTATTAATTGATTTACTAGTATCACTTCATTAATTGATTGTTTATTCACTTATGGAAGACATTCTGTGAAAATATCACCACCTCCAGTCCTCTTCAATTAATAATCTGTCTTTTTACCTCTTCTAGGTTTCCGAAAAATAAGTTTAGATGATCTTCGGAAGGCGTATATCGTGAAAGACGTTCAGCAGTACATTCTTCACCGTTTAGACCAGGAAGAAGCTTTACGACAGCACCTCACAAAAGAAACTGCGGAGATGCTAAATCAGCTGCACATAAAAAGTAGCGGGTGCTTTCTTTACCTAGAACGAGTTCTAGATGGAGTAGTGGAAAATTTTATAATGTTGAGAGAGATTCGTGACATCCCAGGAACACTAAATGGTCTGTACCTCTGGCTGTGCCAAAGACTTTTTGTAAGAAAGCAGTTTGCAAAGGTTCAGCCTATCCTGAATGTGATCCTTGCAGCCTGCCGACCTTTGACCATCACAGAATTGTATCACGCAGTATGGACCAAGAATATGTCATTAACCTTGGAGGACTTTCAACGCAAGTTGGATGTCCTCTCCAAACTCCTTGTTGATGGACTAGGAAATACTAAAATACTGTTTCACTACAGCTTTGCAGAGTGGCTTCTGGATGTGAAGCACTGTACTCAAAAGTATTTGTGTAATGCAGCAGAAGGACACAGAATGTTGGCTATGAGTTATACCTGTCAAGCCAAGAATTTAACTCCATTGGAAGCACAAGAGTTTGCGTTACACTTAATTAATTCGAATTTGCAGTTGGAGACAGCTGAGTTGGCTCTGTGGATGATATGGAATGGCACACCTGTCAGAGACTCCCTATCTACTTTAATACCCAAGGAACAAGAAGTACTGCAGCTGTTGGTTAAAGCTGGTGCTCATGTCAACAGTGAAGATGATCGCACCTCATGCATAGTCCGACAAGCCTTAGAAAGAGAGGACTCTATAAGGACATTGTTGGATAATGGAGCTTCAGTGAATCAGTGTGATTCCAATGGGAGAACATTGTTAGCTAATGCTGCATACAGTGGTAATCTTGATGTAGTGAATTTACTTGTCTCCAGGGGAGCAGATTTAGAGATAGAAGATACTCACGGACATACTCCACTCACTCTGGCTGCACGCCAAGGACATACCAAGGTGGTGAATTGTCTGATAGGATGTGGAGCAAATATTAATCATACTGATCAAGATGGCTGGACTGCACTAAGATCTGCTGCTTGGGGTGGTCACACCGAGGTCGTTTCTGCACTGCTTTATGCTGGCGTGAAAGTGGACTGTGCAGATGCTGACAGCCGAACAGCTCTGAGAGCAGCGGCATGGGGAGGACACGAGGACATTGTCCTCAATCTGCTGCAACATGGTGCTGAAGTTAACAAAGCTGACAATGAAGGTAGAACTGCTTTAATAGCAGCAGCATACATGGGACATAGAGAGATTGTGGAACATCTGCTGGACCATGGAGCAGAAGTAAACCATGAGGATGTTGATGGCAGGACTGCCCTCTCTGTCGCTGCACTGTGTGTCCCTGCAAGTAAAGGGCATGCATCAGTTGTGAGTCTCTTAATTGACCGAGGTGCTGAAGTAGATCATTGTGACAAAGATGGCATGACTCCACTGCTGGTGGCTGCCTACGAAGGACACGTGGATGTGGTTGACTTGCTTTTAGAGGGGGGAGCCGATGTTGATCACACAGACAACAATGGCCGTACACCCCTCTTAGCAGCTGCTTCTATGGGTCATGCGTCAGTAGTAAACACACTTTTGTTTTGGGGTGCAGCTGTGGATAGTATTGACAGTGAAGGTAGGACAGTCCTCAGCATAGCTTCCGCACAGGGAAATGTTGAGGTGGTCCGCACACTGCTGGATAGGGGGTTAGATGAGAATCACAGAGATGATGCTGGATGGACGCCTTTGCACATGGCAGCTTTTGAAGGCCACAGGTTAATATGTGAAGCACTGATCGAACAAGGTGCTAGAACCAATGAGATTGACAATGATGGGCGGATCCCTTTCATATTGGCTTCACAAGAGGGTCACTATGATTGTGTGCAAATACTGTTGGAAAACAAATCTAACATTGATCAGAGAGGTTATGACGGAAGAAACGCACTGCGGGTTGCTGCGTTAGAAGGACACCGGGACATTGTTGAATTGCTTTTTAGCCACGGAGCTGATGTCAATTACAAAGATGCTGATGGCAGGCCCACCCTTTACATAATGGCCTTGGAAAACCAACTTACGATGGCTGAATATTTTTTAGAAAATGGTGCAAATGTAGAAGCGAGTGATGCCGAAGGAAGGACGGCGCTTCACGTTTCATGTTGGCAAGGCCACATAGAAATGGTGCAGGTTCTGCTGGCCTACCATGCTGATGTCAATGCTGCAGATAACGAGAAGCGCTCTGCTCTCCAATCTGCCGCCTGGCAGGGCCACGTCAAAGTGGTTCAGCTTCTGATTGAGCACGGGGCTGTGGTTGACCACACTTGTAATCAGGGTGCCACTGCCCTCTGTATTGCAGCGCAGGAAGGACACATCGATGTGGTGCAAGTTTTATTAGAGCACGGTGCCGATCCAAACCATGCTGATCAATTTGGACGCACTGCTATGCGTGTGGCAGCCAAAAACGGACATTCTCAAATCATTAAATTATTAGAAAAATATGGTGCATCTAGTTTGAATGGCTGTTCACCATCCCCTGTTCACACAATGGAGCAAAAACCTCTACAGTCAGTGTCTTCAAAAATGCAGTCGTTAACAATTAAATCAAATAGTTCTGGTAGTACTGGCGCAGGGGACACGCAGCCTTCGTTACGTGGTTTGCCCAACGGGCCAGCTCATGCATTCAGTTCTCCTTCAGAATCGCCAGATTCTACAGTTGATCGGCAGAAGTCATCATTGTCAAATAATTCCCTTAAGAGCTCAAAAAATTCATCTTTAAGAACTACTTCCTCCACAGCAACTGCTCAGACAGTGCCAATCGATAGCTTTCATAGTTTGTCATTTACAGAACAAATTCAGCAGCATTCATTGCCCCGCAGTAGAAGTCGACAGTCAATTGTTTCTCCATCTTCCACAACGCAGTCCCTGGGGCAGAGTCATAATTCCCCAAGTAGTGAGTTTGAATGGAGTCAAGTAAAGCCCAGTCTGAAATCAACAAAAACAAATAAAGGAGGGAAATCAGAAAATTCCAACAAATCTGGATCAGCTGGGAAAAAAGCAAAGCAAAATAATTCCTCACAGCCAAAGGTATTAGAATATGAAATGACTCAGTTTGATAAAAGAGGACCTGTCACCAAGCCTGGGCCCAGCGCACCACCCAAACAAACACCTGCAGAGCCTCAGTGCAAAATTGTGATACCTTCCACTCAGCAGGAAATTGGTAGGTCTCAGCAGCAGTTTCTCATTCACCAACAAAGCGGAGAGCAGAAAAAGAGAAATGGAATAATGACCAACCCGAATTACCATCTTCAGAACAACCAGGTTTTTCTTGGTCGGGTGTCAGTTCCACGAACAATACAAGACAGAGGGCATCAGGAAGTGTTAGAAGGCTATCCTTCCTCAGAGACAGAATTGAGCCTTAAACAAGCCCTGAAGCTTCAGATTGAGGGTTCTGAGCCCAGCTTCAACTATAAAAAGGAAACGCCACTGTAAAAGGTAATACTTTGTCACTATAAGGAATAAAATAGCGGAAGTATAGTTCCCTCTGTGGAATGTCTTTTTCCCCAAGATTCATTATTCCCTTACTTCCTAATCTCTGTTTAGATCTCATCAGTGGAACCTTTGTGTATCGGAGGAGAAACATTTGAATTCTCCCATCTATACTCCCTTGCCCTCTTTCTTGCTTTGTGCCATCCAAAAGCTCTTGACAGTGGACACATCGTGTACTATTTCTGTGGCATTGTCCATTTAGGATAGCACATACACTGAGGGCAGTTTCACAGTAACAAGTTGTTGAATGAATGAATATACCATTATGGAAACCAGTTTAGACTTCTTGAATATCCAGCCACTTCCCCTGCATAATTGAGCTTAGAAGATATCATTAGTAAAATTGAAAAAAATTGATCTGTAAATATTAAATTCATTCTTTTTTATCCAGAATTCAAAGATTTAATCAGTAAAATGTGAATTTCATTGTGATAAATCTTTTAAAAATTCTCAAAGTGGTGCTTCCACATGCTAAAAATACTTGTGAAAATTGTCAATTGGATGAATATTTAGGGCCCATTATATTTAGATGGAAAGTTGAATATATATTTAAACTTCGAATTAGAAGCTTGTTACCAGCAGACCTAAATATTTTTAAAATGAACCACAATGGCAAATGATTTATTTTATACAAGTTATTTCTGAATGGCATGTGACCGGCTACCCATAGATTCACATTCAGGGTGAAAGGTATTGAATGAATGTATTGGCAAATGGGTATTTAGGGCCCATCATATTTAGATCAATTAAAACTTGTATTTATAAAATAAACATGCTTCACGAGCTACATAAGGGAAATCAGTGAGAAAATAGACATTTAGTTCTTGTGTGATGGGTGACTTTTTCACAAACACATTTTCCTAAGAGTCAAATGTGAAGATTTTGTTAGGAATCTGTACTAACTTCTTTATCTTAAGACCGTGTTTTTTACTTTGAGCATTTTTGTCCTCTAAACAAATTATGCTCTTTTTGAAAGTAAACAAAAGTCTGTCATTTCTTTTGACTTTGGAGGAATATGTTATAGGGATATGATGAGTGAAATATTATCAGCAAATTCTCCTTATCTTCTCATAATAACCATTGTTTCTTATGAATCTATGGATAGCCCGTCAGTGTCTTCCAGAAATAACTTCAGTAGTTTTTAATGCATTCAGCAGTGTTGTTCATTTCAAATTTTTCAGTTCTGGCCTATATTGTCACATAGTTGGTAAAGCCAAATGGGCACTAGATTGTGTCCCAGCAGCTCCACTTCCTATTTAGCTCCCCTTGTGCCCTGGGATTAACAGCCCTGCTGCCTGTGTTGGAGAAAAGGAGGAAGCTCCTGGTTTCTGCATCTCCCAACCTTGACCATTACAGCCATCAGTGAGTCAATCAGTAGATGCAACATATTCTCTCTCTCTCTCCCACTCTCTCACCCTAACCTTCAAATTAATCAATCTTTATAGAATATTAAGTGAAGAATATTAAAGAAAAACATTTAGTTCTAGACACATCTATCTAGATGTCATGATAACTTTTGTAATGGCAAAGTATAAAACACTTTGAGGTAAGCATTTTAGGTAGTGAACCTGTAATAGACAAATATGTTTTGTGCTTTACATGGTGAGCAGATATATGTGTTCTTCTAAGATCTTAAAATTGTATGTAGTTATGTGATAAGTACGATGCAAAATTTATTTATTTTTACTTCTGCATTAGTTTCCTAGTCTGTGAAACAGAAGACATTGTGATTGGATTAGTTCTTCAGCTGCTGGATGAAAACATGAGACGCCTGTTGATTCGCTGAAAAAAATAAAATTGAAGAATGTGATATCTGCAGTACAGTTACTTTAATGACTGTAATGTGCCTAAATAATAAGGCTGCCTTCTCAGTGTAACCCTCTATGCTTAAAATATTTCATTTTGTGTGCTTTGTATTCATTACACAAGAATAAGCACTTTTTAATAATGCAGATATATACTACAGTTCCCTGACAAAAGCTGAAAATATTGAATAAAGTATTTTAAGTTAAGATTTGATAATTGTGCATGTGCCATGGTCAAATATATATGAAAAGGCAGTGTTCCTTATATTTATGTTTCTTGTTTTATGGCGAAAGAAATTTAAGCATTCTGTTTCAGTCACATTGGCATTGTAGCCTATGGCCTGCTTCCTGTATCTTTAAAAACATTGCTCAATAAAACAAATCTGGCAACTGTTTCATGTTCACTACACCCTCAGCATTGGGGAAAAATGAATTTTTGCATAAACGTTGCATTGAAATAAGAAAAATGTTTTCTTGACAGATTCAGAAAATAATAATTGCTAATACTTTGGGGAGCTGGAATAAATAGATCAATTCTGGATTTTCCCATTGAAATGCTCCTCATCTCTGAGTTATAAGTGTCTCAGCAACCAACCAGACTAGGTAGGACAGAGTTTTGTTCACGTTCCACTCCTGTGTCAATTCTCAGGGCCAAAGCCATGCCTCATTGCATGTGTGTGCAGAGGGAGATACACCTGTTTATCTGAGGATAGATTTTTTTTTTATTTCTAAACACCTCATTGACTCCCCTTATCTCTTCTTCCGCGCTAAGTATCATTTGTCAGCATAAACATTAATGTTTGCTTCTCTCACACTTGTTTCTATTTTGTAACTCTGCACATGCCCCAAATAGCCCCTTTCAAAATCAGTTGGATTGATTCTGATGGTTCAGTTGGATGAGCATTTCTGATGAATGCAGTATGTGTTGTCCTTCAGTGGTGACAGCACTAACCCATCAGTTATAGCACGTGTGTATTTTTGTATTGTTGTTAGGTGGTGGTAGTGATGGATTTGCACTTTTCTATCCTTATGCTCCTTCCTATTTTCTTCTTTGGACCTTTGTGTGCTGGATGACTGTGTGCCAGGGAAATTCTTTTGCCAAGGAAAGTAAAATTGGTTCAAAGGAGCATAGCTTCAGACTGCTTGCTGTATGTAGATATTCTAGACCAGAGGAGCCAGCTGAAACTGGCTGTTCCTTTTGTCTGGAAGTGTTGGCGTAGTGTTTAAAAGTCAAGGTTGTGGATTTGATCTTGGAATGAGACCTGCTAATCTTAACATAGCTCTGTGTACTATTGATAAGGAAGAGGAATGAGGAATGAGAATTTGGAGATAGAGCACAAAACCATTGCTACTACTGGAAAAAAATCTTAAGAATATGTCTTAGTAACAGAAGTCAGTAATGTCACCTGCAGATATGAAGGACGCTAAGGTGACACATTGTTCAAGGACATAGAAATGTGTCATTGGTTGTGATAAACATTACACTTGAATCTGTTTAAGGTGTTTTTTTTTTTTTAAGTCAGCAAAGCTCATTTTGTCTGTGTCATCTACAAGTCATAATCAGAACCAGGAGACAAGTTGATAAGTTCAATCAATATTAAGATGACATAGCAATATTGATAACTCGAATGTGAATGTTTCAAGTATTGAATTCTTGTCCCTATGGGACATTTATTAAATACACTTAATAGGACTCTTTCAAAGTAGCCTTAAAAGTGTTAATGATTCTGTTAATAAATATGAACTCATACTGTTTTTAGAACCAACTTTACTCATATCTCAAATGCAGTACATTTACATGACTGTAGAAGAAGATGAAGCTGTAATTTCTTATTAGGTGTATTTTTCTTTAGAAAGAGAACTCTAAAAGCTGCCAGTTTTTTCTATTAATCTTGAATTATTCACATTGTATTTATTTAATTTTATTGTTTTTACAAAGTTGCACCTTGTAGCCAAAGGGCAAAGATATGATTCATTGTATAAGGGATTTTGCGTTTTTCAAAGAGGTAAATGTTTTCATATCCATACTGTATACACTTGAAACAGTAAGAAGAAATCTTGCAGGAAAAATATGATTTTCAGGAGTAAGTTCCTCTGGGTGTTTTTATATAAATGATGTTTTGAAATAGAACTTAAGTGACTTCCAGTAAGCTTCAGGAAGGCAGGGGTGGGAGATGCCCTGCTTTACTTCATTGTTTGTGTGGCGAGTTTGGTACCGTTACTGAAAATGATTTTAAGCACCATTAAAGAATAAAAAGGCCCCCAAATATAAGACTCTTAAATAGCTATTTTTGAAACTAAATGTTTAGATTTTGTAAATTAGCTGTTGCCCACTACACAATTTATGATGCTATATGCTTAAAATGTTTTTATAACATTCCATTCATGTTACCTAAACGTGTGAGTTGCTAACATGGGAGGTGAGAGAAATACAGCAATGAAAGTTAAACACTTGAGTATTCCTAGGAATGGTTATGGGAGAAAAACTGAGTGGAAATCAGTATATACTGTAATGTAAAGTTAATATCTTTGTCCCTTATCACTCCCACCACCACCGGAATCCTCACTAAAAATAATTCACTTAAAAAATGGGAGTACATACTTTTCTCTGTATTATTTTGCTATGCAAATGTTTGTTTTTCTTGATGTAGTCCAGTTACACTTCTCAGCAAACGTAGTTGCAGACAAAGGCTTTCTTTTTATTTCTCCCTTGGTTTGGGGTATGTAAATAAACAGCCTAAAATGTACATTGAATTTCACATTGTAAAAGTTTTATTTCCTGTATTATATTACACAAAAATCCCTATGTATATGAAAGTGCATAATAAATATATTTGCTTTACAGAGGATATCTTGTTTTTAATTTTATCCTTAAGCCTGTAAAACATGTATGATATAATGAAAACAACTTGTTTTAAGTTAATATTTTATACATTGCATCAAGAAAATTGGAGACATTTTAAAAAGTGAGATAGTACGCTGTCCAAAGGAAAGTAGAAAAAAAAGGAATTTTATCTTTCTAAAATTTTAAAACTTGATGTTCATCTTTCCTTTAGCATTGACTGCGTACATAGTGAACGCCACCATATCAGGTTTCATGCCTGTAAGAACCACAGTATGCACATGTGCGCTCCTAGATCATGAGAAGGCTGTATGTTATGTTAGATATTTTGGGGTTTTGTTGCAAGCAGTGATTTGTTTTCTAAATAAATGTATGTTTTCTTCGCTCAAGAAACTTGAGTCATTTCAAAACTTTCTGTTCCCCCACTAGACCACAACAACACAGGAGCATATAGAATGTGCTCTAAGATAACCTATTTCTCTAAAGAGAGGTTTTGATAAGGCCACCAATATTTTCTTCTGTCTAATTGTTTTATAATTATTGTGTACTACTGTAATTCTCAATTATAGTCTGTTGATTTGTTGGATTAATTTTCAAAATCACAATTATAAGGGGTAGAGGGTTATGTAATACTGACACAAAATTATGGCTTTATCTGGTCAGACTGCCCCCTAGAACTAGGCTTCCCTGATTCTCTGTACATCCCCCCATATCCTATGCTTGAATGTAATCAAATAAATTTCTGGGTTTTTTTGTGCTAGGGCTACCTTAGAACATGATGTCATTGTGCAGTTCTGATCCCAAACCCTTCCAAAAACAGCTCACCACAACAGAATTATTTCAGATATGTGTGTATATACACACACACACACACATATATATATATATGCATATTTATGCTTCATCTGTAAAACTTTTCCCAGACCCTTGACTGAGGGGTTGGTCTTGAGCAATCTATACTTAACGAACGTGTAATAAATAATCTTTCCCACGACACATGATTGTGCCTTTGGTATAACTATTAACAACTCTGAAGTTTTCGTTGTTATGAGCAAAGGTGATCTATAACCAAGAGCAATAGGAATGACAGCTTGGAAGTAGGCAGAACAACCAGAAAGTCCATAAACAAGTTGAATCTCAAGTGTGGATTCAACTTCTGAGACACGACAGAAGGCAGGTGTGTGGATGGGGCTCTCTGTATTCCTCAGAACACTCCTGCCTTGCTACTTGCAAAGGAAGCAGATGTTGGGGAGCTGCGGGTGGTGTTCACATCAGTTGTTTTGATATTCAAATGTTTACTGGCTGAAATAAAGAGGTGATTCTGGATTTTTTTTTTTTTTAATGACCATCATCACCCTACATGACTAGCCTAGCTCAACAGTTTAGGACTTGCAACATTTTGTTTATTTCCAAGTGACTTTCAATGCTTTTAACAATGTCATAAATTCACAGTAAGGGTTTTTCCCCTTCAAATTATATGTTGTTATTTTTAAATGTGACAGACTACTAATGACTGCTTCTAAGTATTGGTACTGACATAGATATTACAGTTAGATTCATGGTGTTGTATAAAGGTAACTAATGGAATCTCTAAGACATTTAAAATAAGTTGTCACATTCATGTTATTTGACAAAATAAAATGTTATACCTTGCCCAAAGTAGTGTATTTACCAAGAATGAACCATTTGTATAAATAGTTGAATGAAGGATTCTAAAGAATCTTTTGACTTGACTCTTGGGGATTTAACAATGCACCAGTATGGAGCTAATTTTCATCGCAAGAAAATATAACAAGGAATTACTGACAGAAGTACTAAAGCAGATTGCCAGAGTTCACTCCTGATTTTTTGCCTTGTCTGCTGTTCGCCTTTGAGCTAGTCATTTAAATGTTGATATAAACTTTGGGTATCTCATCTGTGAAGTGATGGGGATGATAATGTCTAGCTTCCAGGGTGACAAGAAACTTGATGACAATAAGCCCAAGCTCAACTGGAAATTGCACAATTCATACAAGATTGTCCTGAAAGGAAACACCAAAAACACTGACAGTTAAATTAGATTTCCTCATTAAAAATAGTTTGCAAGGAAGAGAACTGGAGCCATGAAAACAGGGAGCTGCAGTAATATAATTCCACCTGAGGAATAGGATTGGGCCACTGTGGTTTAGTCAGTGGACAACACAGTGAATGGTTGGGGCAGGAGTAATCAAGCAAGCAGCTTTTGAGGAAGATGAAATTTACATAAGGAATCAGTCCAAAATTAGGTGAAAAGTTATAGTGGTTTTGGTTAAACGCAAATCACAAAATTCCTGGGAGCAAAAGGAGTCATAAACCAGGGGCAAGCGACAGAGAAAAAGTACAGAAAGAAATGGAGAGTCACATTATCAGATACTAAAATTTACTATAAAAACATGGTAACTTTATGATACAATGGAGTCCCAAAGGTAGACGAAAAGGCCCACCTATAAATAGGTATGCTAAGTCTTTAAAAATATATGCCACTAAAATGTGAAACGTATCTTTTCAGGGACCTGGTGTGATAGCCTAGTGGCTAAAGTCCTTACCTTGAATAAACCAGGATCTTATATGGACACTGGTTCTAATCTCGGCAGACTTGCTTCACATCCAGCTCTCTGCTTGTGGCCTGGGAGAGCAGTCAAGGACGACCCAAAGTTTTAGGACCCTGCACCTGCAAGGGCGACCTATAAGAGGCTCCTGGCTTCAAATTGGCTCCGCTCCAAGTGATTGCAGTCACTTAGGGAGTGAATCATTAGATGGATGATCTTCCTCTCTGTCTCTCCTTCTCTCTGTATATCTAACTTTAAAATAAAAAATATTTATATATATTCTTTCAACACATAATGCTGTATTGATTTAAAATTAAGGAAAAACAACATTATTAAAAGAAAGGGGGAGAATGTCATCATGATCTGGCAATAGAAATATATTTAAACAACAAGGTATCAAAACTTACTATTTCTAAAAAGATTGTGTTTTATTAAGTAAGTAACAAGTCATGATATCAGTCATTATGGGAATGAAAGGGAAAAGCATAAAGTATGAGAGCATGCATGCATGACATCTATCATGAAAAGGACTTGAGTGCAAAGTATGAAAGAATTACGCAAAACAAGAATCCCAAGGGCACAAATGTGCATAGCTCTCTCGAGATGGAAGATCAGATAGACAATCTACGTAAAAGTGACCAATCTCATTAGTATCTAAGAAATGCACAATCTTTATTGTGAAATTGGATACAACCAGTCAAAAGAGAAAAAAACACAGTTAAAAAAGTTAGATAGCAATATCAGCACAAAAATGTAAAGGTTGTCTATGTTTGTAGATGGTGAGAACAGAAATTGATAGAGTTGCTTCGGAAAACTGATTTGATGTTAAAACCGACCCCACACATGCTCTAAGATCGGGTAGTTCAATTTATATTGCTTGAAAGAAATGCCTGCATATAACACCCAAACTATGTAGCGAATATGTATGGAGGTAAAGACAAAGAATGGATTGTGAAAACAAAAATACAGTTAGATCTACTGAGTAAGTCCTAATGGCACATAGAGATTAAAATATTCAATACCCATTGGAACTCGTCAGAACCAGGATGGGTGTAGAATGGGATGGGCCAGGTCTCTGTCCATGTAGAGCCACGTGTGAGCTGTGTCTGGGCATGTACCAGGCTTGGCTGGGCTGTAGTGCTCAACAGCAAAAACTGAAATGGGTGAGGACTGGTCAGAAAAAAGTCACTGTTCCTGCTGGGACAGGAGGTGGACTAAGTAGGACTAGCCCATGGACCCACCAGTGTGCGCAAGATCTGCTATTGGGAGAGGTTCTGATGAAGGAGCTTGGCAACTCCTCCGTTGGGACACAGTTCCTGCAGGTGAGTGCAAGAACCACGATAAGAAGTAGCCCAGAACAAGCCAGGTTATGATACCTGCAGGCTGACCTTTGGCTCAGGCCTGGGGCAAGCCAGACTGAGCCAGTTTATATCACCGGTTGGCAAATCCGAGAACCAGAATGGGGTGTGAATCATGCCAGGTCAGGCCACAATTCCAGCAAGTTCACACTAGGGCCAGGACTGGGGCTTGCTGGGCTGCCTAGGCTGTAATTCCCACCAGTGTGAGCTGGAACTGGGGATGGCCTGGGACCAGCCAGGCTATAGCACCCACTAGCAAATGCTGAGGTGAGGCAGGTCATACCAGAGTGGGCCGCAGCACCCAACCAGCACTTATGAGACCTGCAAATGGGCAGACCCAGTAGGAGGGCTGCAGGGAGCTTCTCTGCTGGGCCACTATTCCCAGTGTGAGAATGAGAGCTGAGGCTAGGGGCAGATCAGGCTGGGCAGAGCTAATTGTTGGCCTGCATGTAAGTTGGATAAGGAATAAGCCAGGCTGGACAGACTGTACCTACTGGCACATGCATAAGCCAGAGGGGGCCAGGGTTGGTTGCGGTTTGCCACAGCATCAGCTAGCAGATGCTGGCATGGAGGTCAAATTCTGTTAAATCAAACTGCAGAACAACCTGAAGAGTGCAAGTTCTGGGAGTAGGAGTAGATCCAGCAGGGAACCAGTGGGAACCTCCCTTTTAGGTTGCCATTCTGACTGATGAGCATGAGAACCAGGACTGCAATAGGCATGGCTAGACAGAGAGAGGCACTTACCAACACATGTATGGGCTGGATAGTCAGGCTGCTTGGGTTAAACTAGGTTTCAATGCTCATTGACATGTGTAAGACCCGAATGGGATGTGGGACAGACAGTACCAGTCTGTTGTACATACTGGCAAGCACAGGAACAAAGGCAGGGGGCAGGCCTGGTGGGGATTATTGCGGGTCACTCCAATTAGTCTACAACTCCCACTGGTTTGCAGAGGGGCCGAGTGCTGTGGGCAGGATCAGGTGGGACTGCAATATGCATTCGTTTGTGTAGGCAACAGGGCTGGAGACAACTGAGCCAGCTATTGCAATTAACAGTGTGTGCATAGGCTGATT